AGGGTTTTGAAAGGGGAAAGACCATAACTCCCTAACCACACATCCAATTGAGTTGGTTCAAGGCTCATTGGAAAGGTCTTGACAAGTCCTACAAAAGTCTCACAGTGGTCCATGGGCAGAAAGTGGGTAGATTTGGAGTTATGGCCAAAATCATCACAAGAGGGAGAAAACACTTAGAAAAATTCTAAGTTGCTGGCCTTTTTAGGCATGCGTTCAACCAACTTTGAGTGAATTTTTGACCTAGTTCCACTTGGAATCTGAAGACCATGAAAACATGAAAGTTGTATAGCTCCATGAGGGATTTCCAAAATGTACTAGAACTTCTCCATTGCCCTTATGAGTTGAGAGTTATGAATCCAGCAAGTTGAGGTCTCAACACTTGAGTACACCATTTCCACTTTTTCACAAATTCACTTTTTAACCACTTGAACTATCCTCAGCCACTTGATCATGTTTTTATCTGATAATTAGAGAGTATGATGAGTAGAAGTGCAGAAAATAAAGGGATTTGGTAAACTTTGCAAGTTTGAGGCAAGTTGCAATATTTTAATCAAAAAATCAAGAAGAAAGAGAAACTTTATGATGAAAATCTGTATCAGCAGTCTCTCCTACTCTCTAACTTCACTTCAGTCACTTCCATGTCCTCCATACCACTTGATTTATGCCTTGCATTGAGCCAAGTACTTGAGTGTGCAGCTGTACATGATCTTGAACAAGATTTCACTACAAAACTCCCTCCAAAGGCCAAAATACAAATCTGCCCCAAACCATTTTCTTGCCTATTAATAGAGGTTTCCTCTATGTTAATACACACACCAGAGCACTCTAAAACCCAATAGAAAACCATAGCTCTCATCTTGCCTTGCTTTTCTTATAAGTGAAGAAACCATTCAAAAACCCCTCAAAAATCTGCCTTGAACAATTTGTCTTCCAAAACCATTTCCATACACTTAAAATCATCACAAACCATCTACACAATCCACAAATGATGTGTGGGAGGTGTTCAGGCTCTTAAACCAGTCAAGAACTCCATTTTCATAAAAGTTAACTCTCAACCAAGGAAACTTTGACTTTCCACACAAAATCAGATAAACCTTTGCTCAGGCCTGTTTTGATCACTTTAACCCTCCAAACACCTTTGGTTTATGATGTACCAACTGTCCATAACCTAAAATACCTTCCTCATCACTTGTTTTGAGATCTGTCACAAAGTTCACTCATTTACTTCAAGTGCAAGAAAAGCTGTGTTTTCATTAAGGCATTGGTTGGATATCAGTTGGAAGTCTTCAAGGTTTTCCCTACTGTATAAGCTTGCTTGGAGGTCTACAAGAGGTTAGTAGTCACATTTCCTATCTTGAACTGTCATGAACATGATTGACATGCTTGGTGAGTGATGTGTTTAAATGCAAGAGCAGTTCATGTTTGAATGTGCCATACTTTGTTTGTTTTGCTCATCAATATGTGTAGTGCTCATCAAGCTTTGAAAATGCATCTCAACTGTTTTGAAAAACTGCTTGTTGTTTAGTTGTCATGACCACTATTGAAGTGATTCACCTAGATGCTATTGAATCACATCTTAATCTATGATGATCAATATAGCCATGTTGTCTAGAACCATGTTCTATGTTTACCTTTACGTGAGGATGTATTGTTGTTAGAATTCAATTATAGGTCATTTTTGAATGTGCAAGATCTCTGTCTAGTGCAGGATGGGTGTTGGTTACCAACTATGCTGTCTAATTTTCTCATAGATGTTGAGATCTCTAGGATTTTCAGGTCTTATTTCTGTTGATAAGTTCATGTTGGTTTGACCTAAGATTTGCTTCATATGTTTACTGTTTATTTGTACCTTGATGACATACATGTTAAATTCTATCACCAAGTATTTGGAATCACTTTATCACAACTGCATAAGGCACCGTACAATTAGAGATTCGTTTATGTTAAAGCTCATAAGGTGTGAATATTTGAAGATTAGTTGCAGACCTGTTAATTGGTTGAATCATGATGTTTTGGTGATTGATTTTACTGCCAGCCAGTTTTGAACTTACCATAGCACACTTGAAATTCATTGGTCATTTTCTTTTCTATCATGTTTTTAAACCTCATTTCTGTCTGAACTTCATATATGTGATGTTCAGAGTTTGTGTAAGCTCTTAGTTTGGTTTAAACATGCTTGATTTAGTCTGCAACTTTAAAAATGCATCTCAAACTTTCACCTTGCAGTTGTGTCATACCCCAAATTTGTCCTACTTCGGTATTTAAATGGATGTTTGACTGTTTCACGATTTCTGTCTATGATTTTCTAAGACTTCGTTTATAAAGACTTTATATGTACTCATTGTGGTTATAATCCTTAACAATTTATGTGGGAAGAGCGTGCCTCCAGCCCTTATATCCAAATTCATGTGTGTCCTCTTTCTCACGATCGGACATATATGATATGGACAATGACGTCAATTACATGATTGAGATCTACCTCACAACATAACTGTTGGTTTTCAAGAAAATTAAACCCTATTTCAATTTAGTTACAAAATTCTCTAAAGGTTGTTTAAACCTCACTGCAAGTTGCTTGTACAAATTGCTTGCTGCGATATGCACTTAATTCAAGATACTTCACATGATTCTGCTAGACATGGCCGATTGTGCTTCAAGCGTGGTTCAATTGCAAGTGTCAAGTTATAGTTGGATTCTAAAATCAGTTTGTGACAAACTTAGATTTAACTCGCAAGTCAAGCCATGTTTAGCACAATTGGTTCAAGATTTACGTTGATCATAATTAGAATTGTCTTTAGATTAGGTTTAACCTAGTCTAAGATTGGGCTATGTTCAAGTTTGTGCATTAAAAGTCAAAAAATGGTCAAGAGACTTCAAGCAAATTCTAAACCATATGACATGAGCTATCTTAAAAAATTTAGTTTAATGTTTTCAAGTTAATCTTCAACTATATTCCAATTTGTTTTAAGATATACTTCAAATGGATACTAAATGAATGAGAAACTGTGAATTCTAAAACCTTCAACTCTCTTTCAATCATCATCAATGGCGGAAACCACTCAATTGACTCGTCACATTGAGTCCTACATTTCCTCTTCTTCCACTCCAACTCACCAGGCTGCAAGCTTGGACTCAATTGGATTATTGATAAAAACCAATGCTTTAACTCTTGAAGCACTTGTTATAGGGTTGGATATGTATTTGACTTCAACAGACACAGTTATTCGGTCAAGAGGAATTCTTCTTCTGGCAGAGGTGCTTACTCGTATTCACTTAAAATATCTTAATAGTGAAACTATACACAGCTTGGAAAGAATGGCAGATTGGCAAGCAGTACGAGGTGCACTTGTGGGTTGCTTGGCACTGATAAGGAGGAAAAGTGTTGTGGGTATGGTAACTGGTAGTGATGCCAAAACTATTGCCCATTCTTTTTTACTACACTTGCAAGTTCAATCTTTAGGACAGTATGACAGGAAGCTATGCTTTGAACTAATTGTTTGCCTACTAGAACATCATGCCGATGCAGTTGCTTCATTGGAGGAGGACCTAGTTTATGAAATTTGTGAAGCCATAAATACAGAAAAGGATCCAGAATGCTTAATGCTTGCTTTTCATATTGTCGAGTCTTTACTTTACACATCCAACCGGTGGGGAAACTCATGTGCAAAGAGATGACCTGTCAAGAATTCTAATGCATGCATTCTCTTCTACACCTGTTTATGAACCATTTGTTATTCCTCTGCTTCCTGAGAAATTTTCTTCTTCACTACATTCAACAAAGGTTGATTCCTTACAATATCTTAGAGCTTGCTCCGTCAAGTATGGATATGAGAGAATTGCAAAATATGCTAAGGCTATTTGGTCTTCGTTAAAAGACACCATAAATACTTACTTGGGTGAGCCAGATTTGTCTTTTAGTCTAGCACCCATAGATGGTATTGACTTTCCAAAGATTGAAGTTATAATTGAAACTCTGGCCCTCTTTCAAGAGCTTATTGTGCAAAATAGCAGTCAATTAATTAGCTTGATAATTGATGATGAGGATGTCAACTTTATTATCAATAACATTTCCTCTTATGAGATGTACGACGCAATTTCTGTACAAGAAAATGAAGAAACTACATGCTATTGGTCGACGCAATTTCCGTACAAGAAAATGAAGAAACTACATGCTATTGGTCACATTCTCTATATTACTGCCAAGACTTCCATTCCTTCCTGCAATCATGTTTTTCAAAGTCTTCTCACAAGAATGATGGATAATTTGGGATTTTCTGCTAGTAGCACCAATGGCTTGTAAAATGGTGGCATTTTTGCCTCACAAAGTGTTAACTTTGGATTCCTCTATCTTTGTATAGAACTGCTTGCAGGATGCAGGGAATTAGTTACTTTGTCTGAGAAAAAAACATGGGATATATTGCACCATACTTCATAGTTTCTCAGCAGTGCTATTTAATGCTTCTGGTTCAGTCTTAGCTGTAAGTGCCGGCAGATGTCCAACCTTGCCAATACCTCCAACCGCCTTCAGGATTCCCACTCCTATGTCCTATAACTGAAACCTGCATCAGTTCAAAATGACTAAGTTATGGGAGAACAAATACAATAAGAGATGCAAATGATTATATGCTTGATAAAATGGATAGTGCTCGGCATGATGCGCTATCAATTGTCAAAAAGAGTGCTCGAGTCAAATGCAGTGGTTACCGGAGGAGGTGCTGTTGAAGCGGCATTATCAGTTTTTTTCGGAATACCGTACTACAACTTTATGATCGCAAGAGCAGTTGGCTACAACAAAGTTTGTTGAGTTTTTTTGATCAATCCATAAGGTCTACACTACCCTAGTGTACTACCACTCTTCTACTCCTATCAACAATACCCTTCCACAATTTTATCTTTTATCACTCTTTCTTGCAAATGCTCACAATGCTATTTTTCTAGCACATTTACTTCATTCTCTCTATTACTGTGAGCATTTTTATATGAATTTGTGAGACGTTATCATGGAGTGGAATGCGAAACCCCTGGGGCAATGGGACTGGGAAAACTTATTCTTCGTGAATTCAAAACCAGCAGAAAATCACAAGTCTCAATCTACTGATTGGAGTGCGGAGACAGATCACGAAACCAATGTTGGAATGTTGTTTCCATCAGGTGGTAGTGGCTATTCCGCGTCTAAACTGCTACAAGTGTCGTCCTTGAGGAGCTCAAAATCTGCTTCCAATAATTCATCGTCAAACGGGGAGAGCAAGACATTTATGTCAACTCGGGAAGGTTCTCAAGACGATTCCACCAATAAGAAAGAATTGTCTAAAGGAGATCTAATTGAAACTTCTCCAGCAGCAGAGCCATTGCTCACTCTAAAGCTCGGTAAAAGATTCTACTTTGAGGATGTTACCCCTGGAAGCAATTCCAAGAAAGCCTCTTCCTCCACGGTTCCCGCGGCTCCTCCAAGCGGAAAGAAAAGTAAAATGGGTAGTCAGAACATGCTACATTGCTGCCAGGTGGAAGGTTGTGGCTTCAACCTCTCTTCTGCTAAAGATTACCATCGAAAACATAGAGTTTGTGAAACTCATTCCAAATCCCCTAAGGTGGTTATAGCTTGTTTGGAGCGTCGATTTTTCCAGCAATGTAGCAGGTTTCATTCTCTATCGGAGTTTGACGAGAAAAAAAAGAAGCTGCAGACGTCGTCTCTCAGATCACAATGCAAGACGCGGCAAACCTCAGCCTGGAGCAATGCAACTGAATCCATCACCTCTTTCTTCATCACCTTATGATCAAAGACAGATAATGGGCCCGTTTGTTTTTCCGAGAAACACAAATTTAGCATGGCAAGACATGCATCACATCAAACTCTCGGAAACACAAGATTTTATGCTGAAACCTCCAAAAGCCTTTAACAAGATTGTCACTATGCTTTCTGATGATTCCAAAGGCATAGGATCCAGGAGTACATTTCCAGGTACAGAAGATCCAACTCCCTTGTCTGATCCAAATGCAACGCAAGATGTTAACCGTGCTCTCTCTCTTCTGTCAACCAATTCATGGGGTGCATACGATACCAAGTCCCTCTCTTTAGAACACTCGAATCGGCCAAACAGGGAAACTCATTCCGTAGCACATGCAACTGCTAACCGCTCGCCTTTTCCTTCATTGGAATACTGGCACACTGATCAGCAGCAGGTGAACTCCAGCGGCTGTATCTCGTTTTCAGGAGCGCAATAGAAAGAGCATGACAACTCTGTTAGATGGTATTTTCCTGTAAAATCCGGTAAGCATGACAAGGTTATGGGTGGAAGACAGAATTCAAAGTAAAAAAACTTATGAGAACATCATCACTACGGCAAAAGTCTCGAGCCATACAGGTGCGTACTTGCAGCAACATATCGATAATGCGAAGAATATAAGAGTATCCTACAACTTTGCCTTCATTCCTGAATCTTCTAGCGGCCTCATCAAAAAAAGCTTCAGTATTGCACCTGCAAAGGTGGTTGTAAGATGTGATGTTATCCAAGTTAAACATAAGATGGTCATTGAATTACAAGAAAAAGAACACAATTGTCAATTAAGTTTTGAGCAAGATATTTCTCAGACAAAACAAAAGGATACAATCCTGTCCATGCTCCAAAAGTTTCCAACATCATGACCGTTATGAACTACATAAGCATGAGCCCTCTTCAGCTTAGCTTCATGCCTCGTTCTTCAAGCCACCGCGCCAAATGCATGCGAAATAAAGAGATGTGAGGGATTAGTTTAACAAATCACACACCAAGATATTGTACAGCAAGCTTACCGGCCTTTCTCCTCATGAACAATGCAACCCGTCTACTGTCGTGCCTATTCCCCCAAGCAACATTCTATTTCCTCAAGTTGTGACAAAAATCTGCAGCATTTTTCATCATAAGTTACTAAGAGAATGGATGGATTTCAAAGTGACATGAATGGCAGAAAATACAAACTTATAATGAATCAAAGCCAGCCAAGTATTATAAAAAGAACAAAAACATTTTTTAAGTCAAAACAAATACTTCCATGTCAGCAAATTAATAAGCAGTGAAATAACATTTTTCACACAGTAAAAATCTCAGTAAAAAAAAAACTAGATATTTTCTTTTTTTCTCACTACAGACAAACACAGGGGTCACTATCACCCAAATCCCAGAAAAGCAGAAAACGTGGTATTACCTCCTAACAGAATTGTACTACCACAAAGGCACCTCGTCGTCCTACACAAAAACCTCACACGTTTCAACCAATTTTTCATCAGCAGATTTCAAATTTTTCACACGTACCAAAACCCTAACAAATCCCTATATAAGCACTCACTGTTCATTTAGAAGGAGAGAAAAAAAAACCTAGCAAAGCCCTGCGAAATTCAATCCTCAGATACCTAAAATCACTCCAAAGTTCTTCCTAAAAGTTGATAGAGCTTCATATTGAAGCTCTAAACAACTCGAAGTAAGCCACATCACCCGAATCCAGAAACACGAGCAAGCAAGACACGAAAAAGAAGAGGAAAAAACGAAAGGCATACAACACAAACCAATTACCTCAACATTTCACCATTGGAGCAACTTAAAGCCGGTAAGTTCCCTCTTCAAATGATTCATGCTCGCCGATAATATTTATATGCTTGAATATGTTGTTCTATGTGTGATTTAAGTTTTGATTTGAGTGATTTAGGGTTGTTATCCACTAAAACCAAGGTTGGATTTGGGGTTAAGGCTCGAGGCTTTCCGTTTTGAGAGGCATCACCGTCGACCGTTATGTGCCTCCGACCACGTTATTTGAACTGAAGAGGAGATGGGGGGTAGGAGGTTTTTTTTAAGTTAGAGAGAATAGGAAGGGGGAAGAGAGAGAGAGATTCGTTCGAATCTGACGGAGGGTAAGTGCGAAGGGGGGGAGAGAAATAGAGGATTCAGGGAAAGCATTGTTGTGTTTAGAGCTTCTTTTTTTTTTAAAAAATAATTTATGAAGCTTTTTTTTGATTAAATTATCAATTCAATGCTGCTTGTCTTAGGAAGACTGTTGAGTGTGATAGCGGGAATGGCTCGAGGTAGCTATTTGTTTTTTTATTCAAAACCTCATTTTGTTTATATCTTTTCTTTTGGTAAAAGGCAATAAAGCAGTAGAAGTTGATTCCAATAATGGATAATAGTTTAACCCTTACAGTATTTTAAAAGTAATTGTTTGGTTTAAGTTAATTAGTGGGCTGATTTAGAGTGATCAGTAGGTCGTGTTGCCTTAAGTTGATTACTTAGTCTTGTGTGCTATCTTAGGAGTAATTGATAAATAAAATATTAAAGAGATTTTATGTTTATACATTATTAGTCAAATAAAAAATATTATTGTGTTGTTTTAATTTTAATATTTAATTGTTTGTTTGTTTCTAGATAAATATGTTGACATCGATTAAACAAAATTTTAAATTCATTGTTAATTATTAATATGACCTTTTTTCTTTCCTTCAAAAATTATTAAGGTTATTTTCACCTCGATTCAAATAGTTTTCAAATTAAGTCTAAGCCTTTTAACTAATGGAAGTAGTGGGTCTTTAGAGTCTAGCACTCTTTGGACTCTTGAACGACTGCTCTCGAGGTGCACACCTTGAGTGGTGGTCGCTTCGTCTTTCATCCTTAAAAACATCTAACCTCGTTTAAACCTTCCAAAAATTGCAAACCCTAATTCGAGCAATATACTCACCTTAGCCAAACTCATCTACGTTATAAAATTCAAATTATTTCTTTAATTAAAATTACGAAAGAATCGAACTCTTGGAGTCATGCATTCCTTGAATTCGAGAATGATTACTATTGAGGCGTACGCCTCGTATAGTGCGTCATTCAAACTTTCGTTCCTAAAATACATCCTTTAACTATTTGGACAAGTACTTTCACTGTCCAACAAACATATTTCTTAATTAATGGGATGAAAAATATTGTCGTTGGGATCTAGCATTCCAATGATATCCCGACTAATTGGTTACGAGGCCGACGTCTCATTTATCGAGTAGTCGTCATTCCTCCTAATTTTTCAAACCATCTAATCTCATTCCTCACCTTTGTGCGATCGAGTATAAACCCTAGTATGTTTCTAAGCCATGTGTCAAATCCAAAATTATTTTCTTAACTAAATTGCGAAAGAATGGAGTTCTTGGAGTCGCGCACTCCTCGAATTCTTGAGTGACCGCTCTTGAGGCGTACGCTTTAGGTTGTGGATTACTCGACCTTTCGTTTATAAAACACGTGCCCTAGTTATTTGGACACATATAGTTACTGTCCATTCAAATACACTTTCCTAATTAATTGAATGAAAAAGGTATTATTGGGATCTAGCATTCCAATGATATCCCGATTAATTGATTGCGAGGCTGACGGCTCGTTTATCAAATAGTCGTCATTCTCCATCAAAATTGCCTAACCAAACTCCTATTTCTCGCCCTCGCGCGATCGAAACCTTAAACCTATTCAAATATATCCTCTAACCAAAACATCCAACACGATAAACACAAATTCCTCGCCCTCGTGCGATTTCCAACCAAAACACCTTTTCTCAAAGAACATTGTTTAGTCCCTTCTTCCGCGCATAACAAACTCGTGCTTCAGCCTCCCCTAGCGAGCAGACAAGCCAACGTTTAGCAGTTAGAACGCGACCTAAACACTCGTTCATTTACACACAAACCTTTTACCGTAGTTAGCCGAACTACGGCTGCTCTGATTTCTCATTTATCAATGAGAATACGTAGGCACAAGATTGCGATGATCTTGGCGAGCACAATCCCCTCTTTTTCCCGTAGTCCCACGAACTACGAATGCTCTGATTTTCCACTTCTTACAAGTGAAGATACGTAGGCACAAGGGCCCCAATCCTTGGCGAGCACCCTATCTTAAAACCACCCATTCCCCCATAGGAGAAACCTTAGAAGAAAACAAACAAACATAGATAACTTTACTCTCGAATCGATCAAGAGGTTCCCGTTGAGTACAACGGACGTAGAGGGTGCTAATACCTTCCCTCTGCGTAACCGACTCCCGAACCTAGAATATTGGTTGCGATGACCATGTTCTTATCCCTTAAAGGTTTTATCGATATTTTCCTATTCCATCCTTGGAATGAATAAAGTTCGGTGGCGACTCTGTTTCGAACAGTATTTTCCGCGGCCATCGCGAGGATCGTATTTTTCGAGGTACGACAAGTTGCAGTCGAATTTTACTTTATGTGCGTTATTTTTGAAAACTAGTAGCACCATCGTGTTCCTTATTGAATTTCACATAAGATAGACCCAAATTTTGTTAAATTTGACTTTATTTTGAGTAACTTTGAGATCAATCCGTTTTTGCATCTTGCTTGCTTGGTTTGCTTTGATTTTGGCCCAGAAGTCATGCCCAAGGCTTATGTATTTCTGGGGTGGCTTGATACGCTGGATGTATCGCCACCCCAGTGGTTGTAATTTGCACGCTCATGTACCTATCGCCCATGCTTTCCTCAGTTCGATCCCTGTGGGACAACTCTTTTGGTTATTTTTGGATTTTCTTCACATTTTGATATTTTATATCCTTTTTCCAACATTTTTCACACGCGCACATGTGGTTGAATTGGCAAAGTTTTGAGCCCTTGACCTCAAGGTCTTGGGTTCAAGCCTTGGGGGAGGCGTTTCCTAATTTTTAATATTTAGATTTATTGGATTTTTATTTAATTGTCATTAATTTCAAAAATTCATAACTCTTTCATTTTTAATCATTTTTTAGTAATTCTTTTTTCTAAGTTATTGTATTAG